TGCAGCTGTGTGCACAACACCGGAAGAGGGGGAGCGTGCAGCCTCCGGCCCCCGCAGCAGACCGGAGCCGGGGCCGAAGTCCTACCGTCCACCAGTCCCCCCCCCCCACCCCAGCATGGCGGAGGCCGACCTGTACCTGCTCTATAAGGGGGTCTACCTGCCCTCGCTGATCCACACCCCGGAAAGTTTGCGGAACTACGAGGAGTTTGTCTTCCGCCCCGATGACGTCATCATCGTAACGTATCCCAAATCCGGTGAGTTTTCTGCGCCCGGGGCGAGTCTGGACTCCCGGAGCCCGGGGGGGGGGGGGGCCCTCCGGGTTCCAGAGGTTCAGACCTGCACCCAGAGCTCACGGAGAGGCGTTTCCGCCAAAAACAAACAAAAACGGAGAGGCGGAGGTTAATAAATACACGCATTTATTCAGTATAACGCATGTCTAACGTTATGCTGACGTGTAAAAGTCAGGCTACTGCAAGTTGCTTTGATATTTATTTATTTTTTAAACCTCCAAACTGTCGAATGACAGCTGTTCCATCTTGTTTTAATCCACTTTTTGATTTGACGTATAACTATGTAATAAGTGTCCAGAGGGAGAAGTCCTGCTGTCCATGTTGGATCCCAGCTTCTAACTGACAGAAGGAGGCTGGTTTTGAACCTCTCTGCACTCTTGCAGATAGTTCAAACCCATTAGTTTTGTTTCCAGTGGAACAGAAGACCTGATGTTAGAAGTTGTTTGTGGGTTTTTATTCCAACACCAACAGGGACATTATTAACTTCTGGTTTTAGAGCAAGGGGGTCCAGCTTTGGTCCTCCAGGTTTGTAGAAGATCTTCCTGCTTTAAAAAGCTATGCACAAGCCTGCTAATGGAGCATCAACCGGGATCAGGGTTGTTGAAGCAGGGGAGCTTCTAAAACCTGCAGAACCGGGGACCTCCAGAACTGGACTAGACTGGACTGGACTGGACTGGCCTTTGACGCCCCTGTAAAGACCCCTCTTAACCTTGCCTGTGCATCTAAGCTCTCCATGCCTTGTTTTTATGAACAACAAAGCTCTAGAACACAGTTTTTCCCACATCGGTGGTCCTCAAGGACCACTGTCCCTCAGTTTTCCAACTTTCCCTGCTCCAGCAGACCTGATTTCAAATTAATGGGTCTTCTTCCACCTTCTCCGAAGCTTTAGGAGCACATGCATGAGAGACTTGAGGACCAGAAAGACGAATCCCTGCTCTGGAATGGATTGGCCCTGCAGAACAAAGGGCTGGAACCCTTCTCTGTGCACTTTTGTGACTATCAAACATTGACTTGTCTCGTTCCTACATTAGTCTTTGACTGTCAACGGTCAGTTTTATGTCTTTTTGTTAAGCTACCTCGTGATTATGCACACGTTTTTGTCATTCAGATCTAGGTTAATTAGGTTCTTATGGACTAACATTTTTTTCCACATTGAGTTTTCTCCTTTTCGATTTATACTCTTGCCTTAGAGTCTCTATCTCTTTGTTTTGTTTTTATATTCTTGGTTCTCTTCTTCCTGGTTTATGTTTTAGTTGCTCATCAATCTCTCCCTTACTGCCTCCCCGCACTTGAACTGCCACCTCTCAGTAATTTCCCTCTGTATTTAAACTCCTTGGTTTCTCTCATTGTTTGTCAGATCCTGACAGTTCCTCTATTCTCGGTTTCTTCACCAGTCCATGGTGTAGGTTTTTGTTTCTTTTAAGAAACCATCCGAAACAACTTACAATGCAGTTAGTGTCAACCTGACAATAAGCTACCTAGATGGAAATCACTAGTCAGACTCTTTTAGAGGAAGCAGTGGTGAACATGTATAGATAGAAGGAAGTAAAGAAAAGAATGGTCGTGGGGGTGGGGAGGTACTGGGTAAGAGTTAGAGGAGGAGATGCTACCCTAACTAGAAGTTTCTAGAAGAAAGGCAGGGACGCTGCTGTTCTTGTAGCGCTCGGTAGGTCATTCCACCATCCTGGAACAACTCATTAAAGGAGTCTGGATGGTCTGAAGCCTGGTGTAGCCACTGCTAGACGACAATCCAATGATGGCCGGACTGACCAACTAGAGACATAAGCCTTTGCAAGAGTTTTTAAGTAGATGGGAACCGTACCCTTAAGCACTTTGTAACATCAGTGGCTTGAATTTGACGAAGGCATCTAGGGGTTGTCAATGAAGCTCAATGAACAGAAGGATGATGTGGGATTTAAACCTTTAGTTTGGCTTTTTTCTTTTCCTTTAGCGATCTCGTTTGCTTTTTACCCCTAAAGAACCTAAAGAGTACTTAGTATATCTGATAATTGTTCATATTGTACAAATAAGGGCATCATTTCTGAAAATGAAAACCTAACCCTTTGATATATTCACTTAGGAAAAAGGACAGGATCAATGTTTCTTTGCATTTTTTATTTCTTTGGAGCAGTGAGAACCAGAATCAATACTTTTTTAACCATAAAATGACACTGGATGTCCCAACTAATGCTAATCACATACTTCAACTTGATTTTAGAGCTAGTTTAGGTATAAGTGCACTTCCTCTAGTAGCCTATGACAAACAATTATCAGTTTTAAAAATGTGTCTTAACAAATGGTTGAGCAGGATTAATATACGTTTTCACAGTTCCAACGCATTTTGTCCTGTTTGTGTAGGTACAACCTGGTTGAAGGAGATTGTCCCTCTGGTCACAAGTGGAGGAGATCCAAAGTCTGTGGAGACTCTTCATAACTGGGACCGTGTTCCCTTCCTAGAGGAGGTTCAGGCCTCCGTTTTAAAGCTTGAAGAAAGGCCGTCTCCACGCATTTTTTCAACCCACTTCCATTATAGCATGATGCCACCGTCCTTCTTTGAAGTAAAGCCAAAGGTAACGGTTTCAGTAAGCATCATAGTTTTAGTCTACATGTCAACACCTGTGATGTGGCTGAACGATACGAGATCTTTAGGGTCTGAGTTTGAAGCAGCCAGTAACAGAAAGCATGAATGAAAGCAGACATTTCAGTTTTCCACTGATAAAGAAATTAATCTTTAAGGACTTGCACAGTATTTTACAGGCTCTTTATAATATTTCAGATTTCAGTCTCAAATCGTGAAGTACCAACTAAAGCTGTGAGATATGTAAAGAGTGAAGCAGAAGCAAAACAAAGCATTTTCCTACTACCCGTAAAAAGTAATTGATTATTGTATTTGTTTCCTGAAACGTCGCCCAAAGTCACCAATAAAAGGCTTAATGAAAAATAAAAAACAAGAAAGATAAATTATCTTATGTGGCTTTACAACTGAGGCATATTTTATTTGGTATACTGCCTGTTCTTCTGTTTGCATATGTAACCACTGTTGGGTGCAAAGCAGCTTCCTAGTAAGTGTTAAGGTTGGTTTCACACAGAGTGCAATAGTCACAAACTGCTGAGTGTGGCTGGAAAACGAGGCTAGATCATCAGCCCTCCTAGCTTAAAGACTGGTGTGAGATGTTTGTGCTGACCAAACATCTCCTCCTCTGTTTGGCGCGTCCAAATATGCTCGTTTTCCTAAAAGCATTCCTTCATTTTGCTGTTTCGCTTTAAGCCTAGCCACCCAACCAGGTTGCACATCGATTTGCATTTGAACAATGAACTGCCTTAGCCTGAAACGGACTTGTAATGTTAAAAATTGCTCTATGCTGTCGTACATAGACAGTAGAGCTTTTGTATGATGACATGTAATCTCTACAGGTGATCTACGTCATGAGGAACCCCAAAGACGTCTTCACGTCCTCGCTTCATTATCACAAGATGGCGTCCTTCCTGGTGACCCCGGGCTCACAGACCGAGTTTCTCCACAAGTTTCTCGAAGGAAAAGGTTGTTCCACCTGATAACTTCATTTCTGATCACGTACACTTGCCAGAACTCTTATGAAGTCGAACTGTATTTTTAAAAAAATGCTACATTTTAAAGATCTATCTAAAAGATCTAACAGGAAGTGTGTTGTTTTCCTTCAGTGATGTTTGGCTCCTGGTTCGATCACGTTAAGAGCTGGTTGAATGTGGAGGACAAGAAGTTTATCATGTATATCTCCTATGAGGAGATGATAATGGTGAGACCTAAATGCTTTGTTAAATATAAGTCTGATAGGGAACAATCAGTGGGATTGGCTGTCTTGACTTGTGGCCTTTGCTGCAGGACCTGAAGGACTCGGTCAGCAGAATTGCCCAGTTCTTGGAGAAAGCTCTGGACGCCGAGGTGATAGAGAAGATAGCAGAGCGCTGTTTGTTCAAGAACATGAAGCAGAACAACATGTCCAACTACTCACAAGTTCCTCATGAGATCATGGACCCCACCAAGTCCGAGTTCTTCAGAAAAGGTACATCCATCCATCCATCCATCCATCCATCCATCCATCCATCCATCCAT